AAAATTAAATTTATAAATAAAATATTATTAAAACATGAAAGTGACAACCCTACAGTAAAAGATATAAGAAAGATAAAACTTCCAGTACCAAGTTATTATAACAAGAAGTTTTAATGGTATTACATTGTTTCGCTCCACATTACCGTTGATATTTTGATAAAAAGATATTCAATTATGAGTGCTTTATCAGCACGCGCGTTAAGGAAAGATAAAAAAAAGAAAACTTACATCGATTTGTTTGTTTACTGTTGGCTCGAAATTCGAAAATGGAACGCTGTATTTATTCCATTATCGAGCACACGCATAAGATAATTCGAAAATAGAAGCTCTATTATCATTTATCGAGCACTCATAATATGAGAAGAGAAATTCAAAAATGGAACGTTATCGGGCACACGTGGAACAAAGGCGAAAATTCAAAAATGGAACGTCCCGATTGTATTCGCGCTTGTAAAGTGTAAGTCGGAACGCGTCCTGTTTGGTCACGTGCTCGAGTGTTTGTTCCCAGTAATGGATACACACGTCACCTTAAAACAATTACAAATAAATATTATTGGAAGCTTCCGTCCTATGTTAGTTTTATTCGAACCTTTTTTAAGCATGTTTTTAGGATTTAAATCCTTTTTTTGACTTTCAAGGGAATTTTTGGTTTCTAATTTGTTTCTATACTGTTAATAGGTATATAATTTTTTAGGTCAAATTACGTTATTTTGTAACTTTTCTTAAACAGCTTTTATTCTATTAATTTAATAAACATGTAATTGTATTTTATTATTTATTAATTACGGCGCCACGTGTTCATAATAATCAATTAAATAAACAAAACATAAAAAAGTGTCACATAGTAACTCAAGCCGCAAATGGTTCGCAAGTGTTGCCCTCGGCGAAAAACAACAAACAGTAAAACGCTGTTGACTTTACAATTAGCTGGCAACACTTTAGTGGGGGAAGAAAATTACCCGGAGGCTAAAAACAACATTAACTTAAATATAAACTTTGAGATTTTAGATCACATCAAATAGTTTATAACTTTGTTTCTCTTCATATTAAAAGTTAACGAAGACAGATAAATTAAACAAGTAACAAAATACGTAATTATACAAATGAATTCTTACAAAAAAATATTTAATATTTTAAAACAAAGTTCTACGTTCATATATCAGTGACAATCAACAAGGAATATTATCCAAGCATCGCATCATTAATCAAATCTAACAAATTCAAAATTGGAACTCAAAATTCAACCAATCAGGAAACTCAACCAATGTTTGTTCTGCGAACCCCGGGAAATGGCGGGCCGCTGTTAAAATAGGAACGTGTCAACTTTCACACACTCGTCGCCGGGTGAATACATTAGTACTAAATCAATTTAAATCGTTCCGACGCTCCCTCGACTAAACAACCGTACATTATATTTAAAATAATAAGCAATTACTTCTTAAAATTATTCCATTTTCAAATTTCTAAATCTTAATTATTCCGTCTCTTTCACTTGTATGTTAGAGAGGGATGCATATATGATGACGTCATCGGCGGCGTATAATTTAATTTTGGAATCATTAATTGTGCTTCAAGTGTAAGTCCATAGCGATTAGCTTGTTTGACAAATTGTTTAATGTACTTGAATTAATTACTTAATATATTATAATAATTAATTATTGATGAACTCTCTAGGTGTGATTTTATGTATGTTGCTAGTAAAAATGTACTGAACGGTTTTTAATGGAACTTTATAGTAATATAGTGTGGTTATTAGAATGGGACATAGGCTATAATATTTCCAAATTTTTCCAAATCCCAGCGGACAAAGTCACGGGCAAAAACTAGTGTTATAATTTTTGAATCATAGCAAGAGCCAAGAAGCATCGTGACTTAAATATTTGAATACAATAACTAGTCATTAATAATTATCAGTGAATTAATATTATCTTAGTAGCGAAACCATCACCTCTGAGATAAGGGCGACACTGACACGAGCATTGCATTAAGGTGGAGAAAAAAAAAACAAACAAACATGGCCGACAAGATGGCGGACACATCAAAGACTACGGTAGCGGCGGGAATTTAATAATGATAAAAATATTATTTATGATACATGGATTTATATGGTGCTGTTATTCCATGGTGTGTTTGTATGTGCGTTACGATTGATGTACAAAACTTGTTTACTATTGAATTTTATACATATATAATATTCTTTTTCTTTCTGGCGATCTCCCAGCTTTAACCAGGGTCTGCCTACATGTTGTGAATAATTTTGGCTAATTGTTTTTACGACCGGCCGCCTGACATCAACCCTCTTTGGGAATATATATAAATTTTGTATATTACCTAAATCTAGATTTTATACATATATTTGAAACATTAAATAAATGACCCCTTATTATATTAATGGTCTCCATAATAAATATTATTGTTAAACATTTATAAGGATTATTTATTCCAATACAATTTTATTGTTATATTATACATATATGAAAATTATATATGATTTATATGTTAAAAATGAATAATGCATGATAGCTCGTTATAAGGTCCGGTACTTCTGAAATAATTCGGTCGCAGGTTCAAATCCCGACGGCGTTATTCTAATATAGGAAGAAGATTTTACAAAGATAATTAAACTATTTCTTTGAACTAGATCCTTAAAGTGCCAATAATTGGATATCTTGCCCTACCTAAGTTATATTTTAAATTTTATCTTAATATAAAAACTGTATTGTGTAATTAAATGATATTTAAAAAATTACTTATAACGTTAATTTATATTTTAATTAAATATGACATTATTGTTAGATTTTAGTAACAAAACCATTTGATTTAATTATAGTTATACTAGCTTTCCGCCCGCAGCTTCGTTCGCGTTGAGTTCGGTTATATCGCGTTACCAAGAGAACCTTTCAAAAGTCTGGGATAAAAACTATCCTATTTTCTTTCTCAAGGTCAACTCTATGTTTGTACCAAATTTCATTAAAATCAGTTCAGTGGTCTAGGCGTGAAAGCGTAACAAACAGACAGACAGAGTTACTTTCGCATTTATAATATTAGTATTGATATATATTAACAGCTCCATATATTCCACATTATGACTAATTTCTCATCTGTCATCCAGTTTTAAGCCGATTTCTCGCTTCGAGAAAGAATTTTATAATTATATATTAAAATAAAAATTTAAAATATATATATTTAATAAAAAAAAATTATAAAAAAAATACTAAAATTACATTGAAATAAAAATATATACATAATTTTAATAATTAATTTAATTTCAATTTAATTAATAGAAAAATAGTATATATTTATAAATTAATTAGTTTAATGTAATTAATGTGATGTCATTGACCCCGTCAGGTGTTTTCTCGGTCGATATATCGGTCAGTGTGTTGGGAAGCCATATAAATTAACTGAGACAGATGTATGTATGTATGTTAATATATAACTACTAAATTAATATATATATGTATAATGTTTCATATAATTTCATTTTTAACATATGATTTTCTATATAATTAAAAAAAATGTACGAAGTACTTATGTATATAATTTTTATATATAGTAAATTAGTAATAGTATATGTATATATGTGTGTATGATATCAAAACATTACACTAATTCGAAGTGAAATACAAATCCCCCCTTTGTAAAGTCGGTTATACCCTTTCGATTTACGCTTTGCGGAGATTAACAGAAAAAATATCAATTAATATAACAAAAAGACATCTGCTCGGGAAAATTGATTGTGTTTTGACAACGACCTTGATGTAAAATAGAGAAATAATTATTATATTAAAACCATATGTATGAAAATATATATAAATAAAAGTTACTTAAATAATTAATATTTAACTTTTATCAATATATTTTGTATGATAATATTTTTGTTTCTAATATAGAGGTGAAATTATCCTTATTAATGTGGAAATAAGGAATATATATCTATATATAATAATAATTATGAAATATTATTAAATTTAAACAGACAAGAGGATATATTTATATAAAGTAAAAGTTAAAAAAATGTATTTCTTATCAACAAAAAGTATTAAAATAGAACAATAAAAAAGACATAATTTTCAAATGGAAACATTTTTATTAATTCATTAAAATAATGTTTTACCGTACCTATTATTCGGTGCTCATTTTAATCCGTAAGAAAGAAAAAGGAATGTCTTAAATTTAAAAATAAAAAATGTGACCGATATAATGTTGAACTTAGAGAAGTAATTAAAACGAGTAACGAATGGGGGTTGGCGGGGGTTGGTCGGGGGTTGGCTGGGGGTTGGCCGGGGTCGGCGGGGGTCGTAAGCGGCTTACGAGGGGGTTGTTTTCATTATTCCTAAGGATGTCTTCTTGCTACGTAAATTATGCAATTGTATGTTTCTATAGCTAAATAATTCTTGGATAAAATTTACTTGTATTACATACATTAGTTGTTCCTCATAATATTTGATGAACATTCTTTTTGAATATGGAATTCCATTTATGAAATTCGTTCCATTTAAATTTTAAATACATTCCGTGTATGATACGGATTCGTTGTTTTAAATTTGGAATACATTCCTTTAAATATGAAATTCGATTTTTAAATTTGTTATTTGTTTATTTAAATTTAAAATTTAATTTTATCCCTACTAATATTATAAATGCAAAAGAAACTCTGTCTCTCTATTACGCTTTCACACCTAAACCACTGAACTGATTTTAATGAAATTTGGTACTGAGATAGAGTTGACCTTGAGAAAGAACATAGGATAGTTTTTATCCCAGACTTTTGAAAGGTTCTCTTGGAAACGCGATATAACTGAACTCCACGCGGGCGAAGCTGCGGGCGGAAAGCTAGTCTTTCTATAATAATCATTCTGTAGATACGTTATTTTACATTCGTTCTTTATATTAAGCCACGTGTAATTGTGAATTTTTGTTTTATATCTACGTCAATGAACTAGATGTATATTGAACAATACCTATATATTATATGATATATTTATTATAATACATACCTTGTGGAAATCCAACAGCCTCGAGGCCGTGGTGTGTCAATCCGAAAGGTCCCAGGCCTCCAAGTCCGGGGCCCATGCCCATGTGAGGTCCGGGCCCATAAGGGTTCTGTGATAAGGGCGACGGCTGCTTCAGGTAGTGGAAGTAATGGTGCAGTGGTGTTGAATGACTTTGAGGGTTGGGACCGTTCGCGGTCGACGAGTTCAACAGCGCCATCTTACACGCTCACGTGGGCGGTGGGCATCGTGGCTAGGACGACATAGCGGCTGGAACAGAAAAGATTATGTTGTTATTCTGAGCACATGATCCATATATACAGGGTGACTGGTGAATTACTATCGATACTTGAGGACGTATCAGCACGCCGCCGCACGCGTCCACACTTGGAACACTTGGAACGTGTCCACACTTTATTTATTTATACGGAAATTTTGTAAAAAATTAAGTGCCTATTTTTTTTACATAATTCGAATGAGAATCATGTACCGAGTATTCTCCTTAAATATTGATAGTAATTCACCAGTCACCCTGTATAGTTAGTAGGTACAATTTCGCGTAAATAGCATTGGAAGCAGATAATCAGAAGAAAGTTTGAGATGAAATGTCCCTACTAATATTATAAATGCGAAAGTAACTCTGTCTGTCTGTTACGCTTTCACGCCTAAACCACTGAACTGATTTTAATGAAATTTGGTACAGATATAGAGTTGACCTTGAGGAAGAACATAGGATAGTTTTTATCCCAAACATTTGAAAAGTTCTCTTGGAAACGCGATATAAGCGAACTCCACGCGGGTAAAGCTGCGGGCGGAAAGCTAGTTAGTAATAAATTAATATTATTATGTTTATATCAAATCTTAGTATGAACTAGATTATATATTTAAATGTAAGTATAGAACATTTTGTTTTTGTTTCAAAATCATACACGAGGTAGCTGAATCATCAATCATGATAAGATTGGAGTAATGCAATATTGATATGGAATATATATTAAAATGTTCACAAGATGAATTTATATACTAGCTGACCTGGGAAACGTTGTTTTGCCTTAAAAATAGGGATTGGTGATAAAATAGTGAAAATTTTTAGGTTGTAGGTATGTATTTTTAAATGGTACATTATAAAAAAAATAAAAACAAAGTATTTCATCCGAAAATTAAAAAAAATAGGGTAGGCAGATTCTCATATCTATTTAATATGCACACAAAATTTCATTAAAATCGGTCCAGCCGTAGGTATGAGTTTTCTGTCTAACACAGTTACACGAGAATTTATTATATAAGATATTAATATAATGTAACCAATAACAAATTATATTAAACGTCAATCTCAGTATAACAATTATAGAATTCGGCAAATTACATCACAATGGGTACAGCAATTCGTGAAGCATGTAGATGGTAGGTTTTTGTGTGTATTTTTTTGCGGGTAGGTAGGTGTTTACGGACATTCTGTCACGTTTTTACTTGGGTTGCAATTTCGGGGCTCAATTGTTAGTTTTTGGTTGTTGATTTCATATTAGTTTATTGAAGTTATTTGTGAGTGAATTTTATTATGTTTGAGAAATGTTTTTCAAATGATATATACTTATATAAAAGAAGATATAGATATATCCTGGCAAGTACCAGTGTGATTTTTCCGAGTCATATGTACTTTATAAGAGTATTTAGACATCACTGACAGATGAAGGAAAACATCGTGAGGAAACCTGGACTTATATCACTATTATAAGTTTGAAATCACCAACCCGTCTTGAGCAAGCGTGGTGATTAATGCTCAAACCTTCTCCATGTGAGAAGAGGCAGCTCAGCAGTGGGCTCTGATAGGATGATGATGATGAATACTATAGGTATGTATCTAGTTGTTAAAGCATATATATATTTGATAAGCTATTAATTAAATATGATATTTAGTTAAAATATTGTCAGTAATAATTCATTTTTGAGTTTTCCTTGAAATTTTTTGGCAATTTAATATATATACCAAAATGAACCGATTTAAATGTTATTTTAATACTTGTAACAAAACTATTCTCCTACTGAGTCATAGCCAAAAAAAAACTTTTACTTTCAATGTACGTAGCTAGGGGTGACAAAAGATTTTTCTCCAAACCGCCTTCATCTCGGTCAACAAGAGATTATCCTGAACCAAAGATAGGAATCAGCTAAGCCCTAATATATAACAATTAAAAATCAACTCTATTCCAACTATTTAAAGTTCATTATACTACAAACTTATTTTTTTTAGTATTTTTCTTACAAATTTAAAACAAATTCGACTCTATATCTTCGTAATAAGGTAGTTTTTGGTTTGTTTATATTTTTTCGTTAATTCCAAGATATTTTTCGGCGATCTAAAGGTGTTCGCTTGTATAAAGCAGTGGTTGGTTTCTACGTCACTGAGTTTAGGAGAAATTCACTAAAAAATTAAAAGTTTTCTAAAGAGTTTTTTTTGTGTGTATAACGTTAAGTAGGCACGTAAAAGACCTCCCATTTTGAATGAATTTGGTAATAATAATTATTTTTGACAATTTTTTTTTGTTAAAGTACCTATATAGTACTTACTAAGTACTAATAGCCATACATTACAAAATAATTCTACATATTTTTCTATGTATATATGAATATATACAAATTTAGGCAGACCCTGGTTAAAGCTGGGAAATTGCCATTAAGAAAAAGATAGATATACATATATATGTATAAAAATTAAATTCTCAGTAATATATTGCTATATGAAAATCAAAAAAAAAAAACCATTTTAGTTAAATCTACATTATCACACAAACACAAACGACATCCCGACTCTATTGACGGTTGAGGCATAATAGTGTGACGAACAAACATACATACCTCAATCACCACGACCGATAGTTACTGGGAATAGATAGAAAAAATATATGGAAAAAACTCTATTATGTAGCTAATAGAGTGGTTTGGAGTGACACAAAGGAATCTAATATCCAGAAGTTCTAATAATGAAGACCTGGAATTCCAGCAGTAATATGCAGGTGATGATTAATGGAAAGTTACATAAATAATAAGATAGGTATGATACAGAAGTTGCAATAATGATGACCTGGAAAAATTCCAAGGTATGAAACAGTACTTGTGATAATGAGGACCTGGAATAATTCCAGCAGTAAGATATGCAGGTGTATTTAATGTTAAAGAATATACTAGTTATATTAGTACTATTGGAAGAAAATGAGGCATTAAATAGAATACACATCTCGTCTGCCCGTGATGATTGCTGCAAAGTAACTAACGTCGGGAGTATGTAGTTAAAATAATGAAAAACGTGTAGTAATAAGAAAATATTAGTTTCATTTAAATGGATATGCGAAAGTCTTAGATATTAAACTCCAGGGTATATTTATATAGGTACTTATATGTAAAATTATACTCGTTTTTATATCAGTTAAGTTGATTAAAGTGACTTAAGTCTTTTACTTAGTTGTAATACTTATATATAAGTATTCAATTTAATCTTTTCTTAGTCTAATGTGAATTTCCTTTAACTAACTCTCTTATATGTAATCCAAATCTTTTATTCATCTTAATACACCAAATTCTCATCTTGTGAATCATGAATGTAGGTAAATTTGGAGATAAAAAAACCTCGTAATAGTCTTAATATAACAAATACTTATCTTATAGTCGTTGAGTATAGGAAAATTTGAAAAAAACCCTTTTCTATCTAAAACATCAATATTGGAGATTAAAAATACCTCGTTTTTCTATTAATAAAACAATTTTTTATCTCATAGTCCATGGCTATACGTAAAATATTACAAAAAATTGTCATATTAGTCCCAATAAAATCATAAATCACAGTCAATGTAGCCAACTGTTCAAATATAATTGCGAGGGTGTATGTTTGTTCTTGAGCTACAGCATGATACACAAACAGACTGTCACCACGGACAGGCCTGTTAATTGTGATAGAGAGCTATACTTTTTGTAGTAAACAAATTATAACGCCCTTTGTATGTGTGGACTGAAAGGGAATTCACAATGCAACTATTGTGTATGGAATTTTGTGATTTTTTATATTTAATATATATGCGAGTATATAATTTTAAATATGATTAATTTTTTTATATAAAATTGATTATTATATGTAATTTTGGTAAAAAATCATATTATTTAAGAAAAATATCGATCATCAATCTAATTTCGTTTAATTTAATTTTTTTTGCGTTCAATTATTGTATGCAATATATTCGTACTTTTTTATATTAAAAACTGTATAATATACTTAAAAAATATTAATATTATTATATTTTATAACTCGTATAATATTTCTATATGACACAAAGACACCTAATAGGCACACTATATGTACAATAATTAATATTAAAATTAAAAAACTACTTTTCACCATTTAATTTACCATCATTATATCTGTTGGGAAGCCAAAAAAAACTACCAAACAGAGCGTGTGTAGTTAGTAGTTTACTATACGTGCCCCTAACCGCTACCTAAGAGGCCATTAAGACTCCCTAGAGAGATGGGGCTCAATGAATACTTATTAATATCACTACAATTTGATGTTAATACACCGTATGATTATAGAAAATAAGAAAAAATAATATTTATCGTATATAGTATGAATATTTATTATTTTAAACTACATATATACTACTAGATGAAATCTTGTATGTAGTTTTAACAATAAAATAATATTAACTGCATTTAAATTAAACTAATATTTTTAGTATAAATGTATTTTATTATTAAAACTACATACTACCGAAGTTTCGGTTACTTTACAGCATTACGGAAATACCAAATTTTAATGGGTAGTATAATCAGAAAAATAGTTTCATTTAAATGAATAACATATGAAAAGATATACTGAGTCAGTGGTAGCCTAGTGGTTAAAAGGTTCTCTCATACATGAGGGCGCGGGTTCGATCCTGACAAGTACCAATGTGATTTTCCGAGTCATATGTACTTTCTAAGAGTATTTAGACATCACTGATTAATGCATTCCCAAAGAGGGTTGATGTCAGGCAGGCGGCCGGTCGTAAAAACATAAGCCAAAACTATCCACAACATGTAAGGCAGACCCTGGCTGAAACTGGGAAATTGAAAGGAAGAAGAGTAAGAAGATATGAAAAGATATACTAAATTATATATTTTTTATTGTTTGAAGATAATTTTGGTAGTACAAAAATTCTTAATATATATATTAAATGGTATTTAATACAT